GAAAATAAAAATAATTTTTTTATTCATATTTTTAAAAAGAAAGAAAAGGAAAAAAAAATCATGTTCTTAAAGAAAGAAAGGGAAGAAAATGTCACTTTTACAAATATATTATCGATAACAAAAGGTTAGATAGTTTTATAATTTTACTAATTTTTTTAAGGAGTTTTAATTTCTTTCTTTTCGTTTTATAGAACGAGGACAGCTGACTACCGCTAAAAGTCAGACTACGTGAAAAAGATTCCATATTATATGCCAATGGACTCCTAGAAAAGATTTGAGTTTAATTCCTACCTTTGAAAACAATCTAGCTCCTCGTACTACTTCTCTCAGTAAATACCATTCTCAGCAGCTCATTCCAACCTTACTCTGATCTCTCATTCAACGGCCAATCTGTTAAGTGGGATTCCCAGGGCCTCATGTCTTGATCTCTACATCTTATCCCCACTAAAGTTCTTAGAGAAACTTATATTAATATTATTCTTTCGTTTCTTTTCCTTTCTTTCCTAAAAAAAAGTTTCGAAATCGCAACTATTTTTTACTTTCCTTCCTATTCTTTTCTTTTATTCGTTAAAAAAGTTTCGAGAACACGTGAATGGCATAAAAGGGTATTTTATATTTAAAAATTGTATAGAATCTACATTCCAACCACCATTACTTATCCCACCTCCAAGGGTATATTTGTCATTTTCATATGTAATCATATACACTATATTATGGTCAAATATGGTATTTAAATATTCTAGATGAGAATGGGACAAATAAAGGCAGGTACTTAAAGTCTTTCTAATGGTACAATTTATATTTCATGTGGTACAACTCATTTATGCATTATTAATGTTTATTCTAATTCTGTCACATATGTGGATTCTCCCTTTATTGTTGTTCAAAATCACATAAAAATAAACAGCACAATAATGTATATGCTACAACTTTTTTAATGATTGATTTCTCAATATTATAAATTGATCATTATTAAAAAAGTTAAAATTTTAAATGATAATATAGACATACAATTTGTTTCATATAAGATAGTAAGACTTGTCAGTCTCTTAAAAAACTTATTTTGTGATTTTAACCAAGTTATATTAGAAGTTATTTGTTTACTCTATTGTTTTGGACTTACGATTATAATAAATATATCAAAGTCGTTTTTTATTCCATTGGGATGGTGGAGCAAACTCAGTTGCGGATTTAGAAACTTAGGTGACTGAAGTCAGACTTAGGAATGTGGAACAATTTTCGAAACCAAATAACCCATCTGAACCAAAATGGTTTCGGGTTATTTGGTTTTCGAGTTAAACAGTTCAGTTTCAATTTTTATTTTACTGTTTCAGTAAAACCGAATAGCAAATTATATCATAACTTTATATGTTTTACTTTTAGATAACTTGTTTGAGGCTCTAAGCACATATATAAAACAATTAACATATGATAAATTGGTTTATATTAAGTTAAAATAACAAGATATTAGATGGATTGGATAAAACAGTACTAGATATTGAAATGCCTACTACTGAAATAAGTTTAACAAAACAAAATACAAGATATTGAGATGAATTTATTTCTTTGTTTTGATGGATAAAAAAAATCGAATGCGTGGAGTTTGATAAAAGTGAATGCGTTCTTAAAGCATGGAAACAAGCCATTTGTGAAGGGCAAAATAAAATTTCAAGTTAAATACTGATTTCTTTAAGTTTCGGCTGAGATCAATAGACCCGTTACTTTATATGTGGCTCTGCCACTAACCACACCTCCTATATAATAATATGAAGAGAGATGTTGTTTATAACATTTTAGATGAATTTCACATCATCGATAAACAAGGAAGGTGTGGGGCGGATTTAACAAGTATGTCAGGAATTTAAGTGGGTTGAGAGAAATTTGTGAAATTCCTATAAGGCTTATATGGACTAACAATGGGGTTACAAAGTTAACCATGGTGGTTGATATTTTGTATAACAAATTATTCTTCCTTATAAAATCTAATGTGTTTATTTTTGTTTGTATTGAAATTTTGTTTATTTTATTTACAATGAAACATTAAGGGGACGTTTATCCAATTGTTTATCCGATAAGTGCTTACCTATAGGAGTCGACATTATGATCTATTTTGATGCGTAAGATTTTAGTATACCAAAACATATCGAACCCAACAATTTAGTGGGTAAGCGCTTACCTGGGTAAGAGTCGTCATCCTCGCTTACCGGGTAAGACTCTTCATTATTCTCATCACTCTTACCCGGTAAGATTCTTGATCTTTCTTATGTTCATCTGATGAGGAAATTTATCAGGTAAGTACTTACCAAGTGAGTGTTTAGTAAACGACCCCTAAGTATAATTCATTTTAACCTGTAGTCATAGGTACCAAATGCAAATTATCAAAAATTTGATGTATGGCGACATTGATCCGGGATTGTTTGATTTAGACTGGGAATGAAAATAAAAATGATAGACAATAAAAATGATAATAAATTTGTATTCCTTGGATCTGACCTGATAAACTTATATGAAAGAAGGATCATTATATTATAAACAACCAAACAATTTCTTTTATTTTCATTATTATTGATTAATGCTGATAAGTCTAACCAATAAGCCCTAAAGTTTGACTTCCACAACTTGCTATCAGTTAAGTATTGGAAATTCATATATATGGGCATGTTCAAATAAGAATGCTAACTATTTAAGAAAATAAGAAAATGGCCGTTAATGTACTAAATCAAATATGATTCACGTACAAAATCTTACATGATTCGGCGCGACTTTGCAAAAGACTCAAGTCAGGGAAAAAGTGGTCCGCTTCCTTTTTTTGACGTTAATGTAAAATCAAATTAACATTGCATTATTTATCATGAATAATTTATGAACATTCATCTTCGATATTAATACTGAATGTGGATGTCGTGGATACGTGTCACACTTTCATTTGTCCCCGGGTTTACAACCGAAAATCAGTTTGCAATTGAACTTTTCTCTCCCCCCCTCTCTCTCTCTCTCTCTATATATATATATATATATATATTCTTAAACTTTATATATAGACTAATTTAATTAAAAATGCCACATATTAAGGGGAAAATATGAAAGAAACGAAATCACAATCCAAGCATGGCTGTTGTAGAAAGATAAGAGCGACTACCCTTTCGATTGATTGTTGTGGGTTCAAACTTCAAATCACTACTTTTTAAATCAAAAGGTGTATAAAACTAAAACAAATGCATTTCAAAGCAAATATAATTTACAAGTTATGTTATTTATTAATGTATTATTCATCATAAAAACAATTTATTTTGATCCCGTTTGGTTTGTAGGAATAGATTGGATTTGGGGGAAAAGTGAAATCCTAGGATTTAATTGAAATACTACAAACATAGGATTTTGAAATCTCTAATGGGTGCTCGGGATTTCGTAGGATTGTATACAATAAAGTTTTAAAAAATGTTAAAAACATTTGTTTTGCAATAATCAAAAAATTAAAATGTAATATAATTATCTTTATAATCTTTTATAATTCTTTTTATAAATTCTTTATAAATAATGGAATCTAATTTCATTCTAAATCCTACAAACCAAGCACACCAATGATTTCAAATCCATTTCGATCCAAATCCAAATCCCTCGATGAAATCCAAATCCTTCAAAAATAATTTTGCAAACCAAACGGACCCTAAGCATTATGTATTACTTATTAATGTAAATTTCTTAAGTTTCAAGTTTACAAGTAATCATAGCATAAGTATAATTCTTAAAGTTCTTTAAACTCTATAATAAACATGTTCATATACAGGATCTTCATTGAGAATTGAGTCATACCACAATATTTCAACATTATCTTTATCTAGAAAAATACTTAATAACTTAAACTAAAATTAAAAAAAAATATTTTAAATCTAAAATATTTAAAAATTATCCCAAAAAAGGAGATTTTTTTAATCTTTAAGTTAACATCAATATCGATATATGGTTTTGGTCTTTTTATCGAGTTTTCAAATTAGCAAACCTGTTGTAGTTTTTATTGTAGTTAAGACAAAAATTTCAAATTTTGTTTTTTAATAATAAATTACATTATTATTGTTTACAATAAAATAATATATAATGCATCATACTGATATATAACTAGTCAACTAGTAAGAGATAATTAAATCAAGATCTTATTAGATAAAAAAATAAAGACTTCAACTTTCAACATGTCATGATAGAAGTTGCTATTTATACACTCTCTCACTCATATACCATCTATTTCTTATCCCTTTATCTTATTCAGATAAAAAAGAGTAAGAATATAATTTACTTTCATAATATATATGTTATTATATTTATTAATACTGAATTTAATTTCTATTTATTAATAAAATCAGTAATGAAAGGGAGAAAATTTATTTGAATTTTCCTTTGACCAAAAAACCAACCACTTCATACCTAATATCTAATATCAAATATCATTTCACCCTAAATTCATGATTCATGTTGTTTGTGCAACCCTACTCACCACCTTTCTGACCCTCTTTCATTATTCTAATGCAAAAGTAGAATAAATCATGATAAAGTTGTGCATATCCCTTCTCAAAAATTGTATTAAACTATAACTATTTCTTTTAACTAATTTTCAAAATCTTCGGTTTTAGAAAATTTTCACGATAACCAAATTCACTTTCACAAAAATAGAAACGACAATGTGAAGTCAGTTCTTTTTTGGAGAAAGAATTAACAGATAGATAAAAAAAACAAGAAACGATACAATTTGCCCTCATTTCTTATTCCCTTAGATATCCTAGGGTGTGAATAAAATACACCTTAATTATTTCTAAAGATATCACAAAAGGTTAGTTTTTAAATAATTAAAAAATGGTGTTTTTGTTATTAAATAAATAAGTAGCCAAAAGTTGAGGGGCCATGAAGCAAACCGCCCATTACATTAGTACAGTGGTGGAAGTCAGCATCAGCATCATCATCATCTTTATCTTTTATATGATACATATATTCAAATCTCCTTTCAAATTTGCTCACTTGACCATCACCTTTTTCTGTTATCAAACAAAAAGAACCCACCACCCAACCTCCCATAGATTTCCCCTAAAACCTGCCTCCTCCATTTCTTCATGTTTCTGCTACTCCACCTTTGCCTTTGAAAATGGTTCAAAGAAAGGCTCCTAACAAGCTTGGTATCAAACCATATCATCTTAAACCAGATACCCATTTGGTTAACCTCAGACCATCATCTCCACAAACCCATGACCTCAAGAAGATCATGAAGAAGTCGAGGTCGATCAAACGGCCCGATGAATCGGCCAACTTACGATCCTCGAGAAGGAAGCGATCACAGCCGTTGGTTGAACATGGAGGAGCAGCAGTAGCAACTTCACAGAAGCAATCACCAAACTACATGAAGTCCACCAGCAGTTTTGAGGCAAGAAAAGAGCGTTCGCCGTCGATAAACAAGAATCAGAGTCCGAAGGCTGAAAATAAGTCGAAAATAGAGGTTTTAGCTTCTGGAAATAAAGGATCAAGAACGTCCAGTTTGAAGCTAGTGAGGACGTTAACAAAGAGTCCTAGTTTCAAACCATTGAGGTCTTCGAAGAAGTGTTCTTCTTCCGTGATTTTATGTGAAGATTTAGATGCTCAGAGAGCAACATGTTCTTCGACTCTAAAAGACTCCAAGTTTCCGGATAGCCTTGAACTGAGTCCAGGAGGGACCGAGTTAGATGGGACTTCTGCGATGAAGGTATGCCCKTATACTTACTGTTCACTCAACGGTCATCACCACSCTCCCTTGCCGCCGTTGAGRTGTTTCTTGGCGGCAAGGAGACGTGCTTTGAAGACACASAAGAGTTTYAAGCTCGGGTGTTTATCTCCACGTCACACAAAGCCTGTTGTAAAGAAAACAGAGGAAATCATTACCGGGCCGGTAGAGGAAGCTCCAGAAGAAGTGGGTATGAAGGGCACACCTGTAAATCCTTTAATGGAAGAAGAAGGTAAAGATTTCTTTATTGAAATCTACAGCAAAGGCAGCCAGGATTTTGAAAGTTCAGATATAGATTGGGAGGATGGGTACGGTTCTGCTTCTTGTCTTAATGATGATGATGTTTGTGAARAGAAAATTCAGAAGACAGGTGTCGAGCTTCAAGACTCGTATGACGAACAAAGTGTGAGCTCGGGAGGTTGGTCAGAGGAGAATGGTGATTCTGAATCGGACAGTTCGTATCAGCAAACAAAGATCAACAACCAAATCGAAGATCAAGATTTTATGAACTATGATGCATTTGGGTTGTCATCAACAACTGATAAAGTGGATTTTGATGATAAAATGGATGAGGATAAGATCACAAGAATCATTGAAGCAAAAAAAGATGAACTTCAAGGCTTTACGACCAGAGATCATGATGTCAAATGCAGCATCAATTATAACCAAGAAAAAGCTTCTCAAGAGTCAGAAACTGCCCCAGATTTTGCAGAGAACTCTCGGGGCGGAACTGAAAAGCGTCACACCAAGATAATCTACAACATCATACAATTTAACATCTCTATTTATATCAATGGAGAAAAAACAGAGCATTCAGAGACAGATAAAGGTGCCACTGTACAAGTACCTGCAACTGCTGTTGCTGCTGATAAGATGAAAACAGAGGAAGTCCATGAAGCTATGGTTGGAACTCAAGCTTCTCACCTGACAGAAGAACAGGGCATAAGTWGTCAAAATGATGATGCCAACAACCTTACTAGTTTTCAAGAAGCTAGAGAGGTGAATCAAATGATCACCAATGAAGAACTTCCCTTTGATGCTCAAGAAATCGTTGAGCAYGAGCAATTGAAAGCCAGTTACTTCACCAAAAAGTGGGATGATCCTGAAAACAATAAACATTCAGAGAGTTTGGGACTTGGGGTCACGGAAGAACGCGAGGATGTTGTCGAAGAAATGGATGAAGAACATGAAAGCAGACCGGAAGAAAAGCAAACACATTTCACAGGAGAAATAACATCCATGGATGCAACAAATTCTTCTCTTTTAAAGAAACGAGCTTCAGGTGAGGAGCAGCCAGATCCCTCCATAAATC